TCTAGTAATTATGTCCTATTTTTAACTAATTTAATGGCATTGACAAGTAGACTGGTCTACTTTCTTAATCATGCTTTGCATGAAGAATATGACTGAAGTGTTCAATACAGGAAATAACAAAACTGGGAAAGAAGAAACTTTGTTTGCTCAGATGTTAAAAACACATTACTTACTACTGCAATAGGCTAAATTTCTATTCAAGAGTTACACAACTTCCAAAAACATCTCTAGAAAACAAGGAGAAAACACCCTTCTTGTTCACAGATCGTGGCTGTGCTTCTGAAGGAGACAGCAGGCACAATGTTGGATCTGCTCCATGGAAGCCCAGTATTTTATGGGGGGGGGACTAAATAAAAATAAAAAAGCAGTACATATGAAAAACAGGAAAAGGTGTCTTACATATTCATTAAAAATGTCAGTATAGATGAGCTTATTTTCTTCTGAGTCATCAAACTCCTGGTAGTGCTTCTCCAGAAAAGACCTCTGTATTAACTGGAAATCGTCATCTGGGCCACAACAAAAAATGCATCATGCAGTTATGAGTTTGGTCATTCTTTCTGAAACACAAAACCCCACATTCACTGCTCCTCTGCCTCCCTGCTGGAACCACAGAGCCCTGCACACGTGCAGAGTCCGTCACACCAGCCCTGCAGCTGCTGCTGGGCCACCACCTCTGACCCATCTGGGAGGGGACACAGGCTGCTGGTGGAGTGTCAGCACAACAGTCCTCCTGCTCTGTGTTTGTTAATAAAAGTTGTTTATTCTGAACCCCTTTTTGTTCTGGCTCTCAAGCCAGCAAAACACCTGTATTTTTTATTAAGTGGATACCTCTTCCCTACAAGAATGCAAAGTAAGTTTTCTTTCTCCTTGAATTTAAAAGTATTAGTGAAAACCACAGATTAATTTTCAATTGATGAAGATTTTTTTTTCCCCAGTTGTGGATGGAAACAAGAATAAAAATGAACATGGTAAGTCACTACCAAATTACACAGAACAGGTCTAAATAGAAAGTTTACTTACACACAGTGTTAAAAGACACCAGTCTCAGCTTTCCAAACCCTGACACATTCCAAGTGTACACAGCATTTCTCCAACTTCAACTACATCACCAGGCAACTGAGGATGCAGAATCTACATCTCTCTGGGAAGGATGTGACCAAAAAGATTGTGTGCTGTTCTTACAAAGCAGGCAGTGGCCAATCAACAGGAATTCTGCCTTGGCATCTTGTCAACTACTTCCCTGCACCCTCTGACTTCTCAGTTAAAACCATGGCCCTGAGAATTTAACACCTTTTACTGCCACTTAAGGCCAGGCTGGATGGGTTTGAGCGACCTGGTCTAGTGGAAGGTGTCCCTGCCCATGGCAGGGGCTTGGAAAGAAATGATCTTTAAGGTCCCTTCCAGCCCACCCCATTCTGTGATTCTCATGACCAGCTTTGTATTTTGAGGTTGGCTGCAATATGTTCAGCACCCATGTTGTTGTCTGTAAGTAGCTGCAGCCCTTACCCATGATGATATCTTCCAGATAGCCAACAACTATATCAAACTCCTCATTAGAGGGGGTGGAGCTGAAAGCAAAGAAAGACAGGATACATAAATATGTATTTCAACCACAGCAGAAGTTAAAGTTAAAATTAAAAAGTGTTAACAAAAGCCTAAGCACAAATAAACCCGTTAATTACAAGATAACTGAATAACTTCCTAGTTTCAACCTACAAAATAATCCATGACACTGATGAGAAGGCTGCTCCATGGAGATTCTCATCAGGCCTCTACTATAGTTCCTCCCAGTAAGGTGCCTAATTGAAAAAAAGAATAAATGTTGTTTTACTGGCATTACTGTCAAGGTAATTCTAGTTCTGGTGCAGAAGGATGTAAAGATTGTAATTAGAACAGCAAATTAAGCCTTTTCCAACCCACAAATCCCAGCTGCTACCACAGCTTTCCTTATGTTCTGTTCCCTGCATTAACTGTACATGGTGATCACAGAACTCTGGACACTCTAGAGAACATTCTGAAATACTTGGTCTAATGGAACCACTTAAACTGAAATGTATAAGAAAGTTTTACATAACTGAAGAAAATTAAATATTTTTCTTATGCAAGAAACATCCTTATGTGCTCCAAATAAATGGGATAATCTCCTAACGTTATTCTATTATTAGCAAGTATTAAACACCATTATGGATTTGAAGTCATCCAGGAAAGAAACCTCTGGGACCAACATCAGGACACTGGATCCCTCTGCTAAATCTATTATTGTGCAGCTTGTTCAGACACAGTAAATAATCCACCAGATCTCTCTGGCATTCACAGTTCATCTTTAGTGGGGGATGAACTCTTCCTATATTCTCCAGAAGATGAAAGACAAGCTTTGCTCACACATGAGGAAAACAAATCTCAAGGGAAAAATTAGCCTTGATCAGCGAAAGCACCATTTAAATTCAATTAAATGTCTCCCTCTCTTTCAAATGTCTCTTTAGCAAACAGAGCAGAACAGCCCTTCAGACCAAGTTTTAAAAAGCTCATTATTTTGGTATTAGATAACACTACAGTGAAATTAATCCAGCAGTTTAACCAACAGTTTACCTCTAATGAGCCACTGGGCTCACTCTGACCAGGAAAAATTAAAGAGAGATTTCATTTGAAAGGGCGTCTGATCACCGAGCGATGTCCCAGCAACATTCCTGATCCGTGAAGCCTCGGGAGACGAGCGAAGCCAAGGCAAGGCCTGGAAGAGCCCGCGAGAGGGCGGCACAGGGCCGGGAGAGGGGTTGGCACGGCCCGGGCCGAGGGGACACACCTGGGCACCTCACCTGGGCTGCAGGTCACGGGCTCGGCGCTCCCCTTGGCATGCAAGGGCAGGAGACTTTGCTATGGATAATTTCCACCATTTTTCCTCCCTCCAGATAAATGCCACTACTAGTTTTATCCTAACAGCAACAGAAAAAGTATGAATTTAACCCTCGCTTAAGTCTGTAAGTCAAGTAATGGAATTTTAACTGCCCCAGAAGACACTTATTCCATCCCTCTATACAACACACGTGCATCCAGACACCTGCAGAGACACGGGCTCAGCAATCCTGTGGTTTAAGCCCCTGTCACCTCGTAATGCCAAGCACAGCAGCTAGATCAGCACACATCTTAGCATTTCCCAGTGTGAAATTTGGTTGAGGGCACCTGTAAAAGGTCTCAGGATTTATAAGGAGCACACTCAAACACAGAGGGATAGTCTGTCCTCAGAATCCAAGACACAAGACGACAAACGCTCTTGAAAAGGAGAAATTTTGCATTTCAAACCAAATTTTGCATTTCAAAATAATTTCCAGTCTTACAGTGCTCATTTTGTTCCCTCAGCCAGGGCTGCCTGGTGCTACACTGACAGCAGTGATATTTAGTTTGACTTCACCTAAACTCTGCACTGACGTTATTCCCTCCCGAAGCTTTGCATTCTTCACCTTTGTTCTCCTAAGAGGCAGAATCTGCTAATCAGTGAGGTGTAAATTCATTCGTGTAATTAGATTCCTATTAAGATATTTTAATTAGCAATTAGCTTCTTGAAAATCTGACACAGAATGTAGCATACTCACGTGGCTACACCCAAGTTTTCTCCATCAGCAGTCTCCATCGTTCCTGCCTAACCAGACTGGAAGAGACAATCTGTACGTTGCTGCTCTTAGTGGCTATTTCTTCTTTTTGGACAAAGTGCTAAGGAACAACACGTGACTTTGCATTAATACAAATTCAACCGTTAAACTATCATACACTTCCCAAACAGCAGGAGAGAATTTTTAATTATTAAACATAGGAATTCTGAAATCCTGTTCTTCTACAGTTAAGGCTACTTCTTTTCTGTAATAAGCCAAATTCTCTAGGGACTTTCTCTGCCTACCCAGAGAACAGGTTCAAACCTGCACACACCTGCAGTCAGCCCCTGGAAAGGGGTTTTGGGTCACCTCTGCATGTCTTCTGCTGAGACATTTATGACTGACCATTATAAACACGAAGCCCTATGAAGATGCCACCCTGCTCCAGAGTGTCCCAGACCAGGCTCTGGACAGCGATCCCAGGGGCTCTGTCCAGCGCCGGGCTGTGTCCCCCCGTGCCCCGGGTGGTGAGCAGGGGGTGATCCGTCCCCAGGGACAGGGCACAGAGCGCCCGGTACCGGGGACGATGGGGACGCCCTGCTCCCGCCGCCCTGGCCGGGCTGTACCCACCGCCGGCCCCCGGAGCAGCCCCGGGGCATCACCCCGAGCACGGCGGGAGGGACCAGCGCGTCCCTCGCCCCCCCTCCTCAGTCCCGGCTCCTGGGGAAGGGGCGAAGCCCCCCTGCTTTCTCCCTCCCCTGGCACCCGCCTCATCCCCCACCTCCAAGGCACCCAGGCGGGCGGGCCGTCACCCTCCCTCCCCAGAAAGCGACCCGCCCGTGTCAAGCCCCCCTGTTCTCGGATCCGCGGCCCCGTGTCAGCCCTCCCCTTCCCGGGCCCACAGCCCCGCCTCAGCTCCCGCTGACCCCACACCCCGTCCCGCCGTCCCGCCCGCACCCACCGCCCCTCACGGCCGGCGCGGCGCCCCCTCCCCTCGCGCCGTCTCCTGGGGAACGCGCCCTTCCGCCCCGCCCGCAGCCAATGGCGGCGCGGCCCTGCCGGCGCAGGGCCCGCCCCTGGCCCGCCCGTCCAATCAGGGCGCGCCGGGGGCCGCGCGGGGAGGCGGTGCCGCCGCCATGGCGGGCTGGGAGCGCGTCCTGAGGGGGGGAACGGAAAGAAAACAAATAACGCTGTTAATTGTTAAATTAACCCGCTGGTAGAGCAGGGACAGGGCCCAGCCCGCCCCCAGGCGCTGCGGCACAGCGACCCGTGGGGTGACCTGAGCCTCCCACCGGCACCAATGTCCGCGCCGGCCGTGCCGTTCGCCCCCCTCAGGGACGCGAGCTCCTGCTGCCACCGGCACCGAAACACTTAACACAAGCTCTCATCAGAAGGAAGTAAAGAACAACGAACAGCCTTCAAGATGTTTTTTATTGTTGAATGGACAACTTTGCTACAATTCGTTTCCCCTTCTAAGGGCCTGTGGAGTCGTTGCCGCCTCCCATCCCCATCCTCAGGGAGTGAGGGGGACGCTGCACCGGTCGTGGAGTATCGAGCTGGACTAAAGATGCCCCCGGCGCGGATGGCGGTAGAAAGCCAGTCAAAGTGTACAGTCTTTCCCTTTGTGAAATGAACAGGACAGTTCTCTGCAACACAGCTCTCCCCCTCCTCTGCCACCGTTGGCTTCCTCTGCCCAGCACCAGCTGCACGGAAGACGGTCTGGGGCAAAATTTTCAAAGCGTTAACATCTTTTCGATAAACACAGGCACTTAGTCCCGTGTCCACAAAGGCAGCAAGGCTCTAAGGCCACCCCCCATTTCAAGAGGACAGCAGATGCCTCGAAGCCATTGTGGACCTGGGCCTTAAGAGCTTAATCTCATACAGCAGCTGATACGAATTAGGAGTCCTAGGCACTTCTGAAAATTTTACCTCAGTTAATCCTGGCCAGGGAAACCAAAGCCCTGAAGTTACTAGAATCTATTAAGGCAGAGTTCAAAATGGTTCTGTCCCACTCTTCCCCTAAAGTACAGTTTCTGTCTTTGTACCTTAGGGATAAAAAACCAATCATTGCATTTGGAAGCACTTAAAGTGATTCTGAAACACTGACACCCTCGTGGCAGTGATGGTGGTCACGTTTGCTCATTGAGCACCGAGCAGGAAGGGACTCAGCCCTGACTGGACACGTGGATTACAGCAAAACATTACAAAGTACAGTCAGTGAGGAAATGAGGTCCCCGTGGCAGATTCGCCAGTCTGACTTTAATCAAACCTTCCATCCAAGGTGGAAGAGAATTCACACTTTAGCAAAAACACTAACCAGCACACCACTTCTGGATTCAGTCTGTATTTGGACAAAAGTCAACAAGAAAACGATGGACAGAACTTTCCTAATTCACACATCTCTGGATGAAGTTCAGCACCCTTGAGTTAGCAAAGGCAGAAGGTGAAAGAAGTTGCTAGAGAGCTGGATCCTGTGACCTGTGTGCAGAGCTCAGGTCAGTAGGAAGCCAGAATGCTCAGCAGGAAGAAGCCTCAGCTCTGCTTTGTTAATATTTGATAGTACAATAAAGATAATAAATGACTTTAAAAATAAGCTACATTGCAGCATGGAATTCACAACAGCTTCTGCTGTTGAATCGCTGCCAAGAAGTGGGATGGTTTTGCTGTGAGTTGTGTGTGAATTAGTAAAGTTCCACTTCACAGACAGACAATTTAAAAAAAAAATAATTAAAAAAAAAATCAAACTGTGCAAGTCTTGGAAGAGACCGAGTCGTATCCTCAGTTGGTGCAAAATAAGCAGAACTCCACTGATTTTTGTGCTACTTCACTGACCCCAGCTGTGAACCCTGATTCCTTGTAGAAACCTAGTAAACCAGTCAAGAGCTGCCTGCTGAAATGCATCCTTAACATACAAACATCACAAATGTGTAATTAAAGTGGAGCAGAGCTTCCCACTGTATGATCCCTACCAAAAATAAGAAGTGTGGCCCCAAACCTGCTCAGAGCAGGACTGACACGTGGCAAGCAAGGTGCATTTTTAAGGAGTTACAGAATAAGACTGAAATTGGTACCCAAATAACCTTTTTTAAATAAACTGGCCCAAAATTATCCTCTAATATTTTAAGATAGCTCAATTTTTCCAAAGTGAATATAACTTTCAAAAACAACACTGATTAAAAAAGATGTTCAATGATACCTTAAAAAATACCCAGAATATCAAATTAATTCCAGTCCAGCATTATAATTAGTTAAGAATACCTCCCGAAAATTATAACCTCACAAAAAAACGTGGGTACTGAAGTTAAAAGCATCAGAAACGTTATGTACTTGAAAATACCACCGATCTTTTAACATTTAAAAACAAATCAGAACATTCTTTGGAATCACCAAGTTATTAAAACCTGTGAGTTTCTCTACAGTCTCCACACTGTCTTTTCAAATGAGTCTGTGTACAGATTCAGTCTCTGAGCAGTTCAAGATCCACTGTTGGAAAACAGAGTCTCTGACCAGCAGGAGGCTACATTAAACAGGAAAACATTGGCATTCTGTTTTTAGTACTGACTTCTGCCAAAAATAGAGACTTTCGAGCACAAGACAGCACGGCCCTGTTTTAGGAGATACTTATTTTCTCTTCTTTTCTAAAATGCATTGTACGTGTACTTCCAGTGCAAACTTTTTCAGCACTTGTGACAGGCGAGAAGGAAAGGGGGAAGAAGAGACACTCCCCTCTGCTCTTCAGAGGAACCAACAGCCACAGCACGCTGACCTAGCAGCTCTCCTTACTGCTGAAACCAGCTCCCATTGCTGGCAACTGGAAATAGCTTATTAAAGATTTCGGTTTTAAGATAAACAGATTAACAGGTTAGCATGAAATCTGGCCGTGGCTATGGTTCTATGTGCATAAAGACTGGTTAGAGATGCTTTCCCCTTTCAGTATTGGTTGGTGTTCACTGAAAACAAGTCTGTGGCATTTCTCCACGTGTGTCATGAAATGTGAGAGATCTGTCTGACTCGGGTTTGTATTTCCTGTCGACACAAAGGGCAGGTCTCCAGTTGCAAGGCACACTCCATGCACAGGTCACTGAAGGAGAAGAAAAAGAGAGTCAGTTAAAGCCTGCACTTACAGCATGAAGAACTGAACAACAACAGAATAATATACAAGCACTAAGCAGTTTAATCAGCCTGCCAGAGACAAACAGCCAAGTTAAGTATTTCAGTGTGGAGACTGGATATTGCAAGTCAGGTGTTGGGGATCTGTCTGCAGGCTTTGAGAGGAGCTCCTGCTGCTCAGCACCTCCCAGACCTGCAGCTGGTCAGGATCACACTTGCCCATGTTCATTAATCTCAGCACTCACTCTGGTCTGGACAGCAGCAGCCCACTTACTGACAAACACACCAGGCACATCTCTTTTTAACCTTCCAGCATTTAGACCCATGGCAAGACTCCTTCCATGAGTGCTCTAAAAACCCTAAGGAACTGGACTTAACTGGATTAATTTCCTGCTTGAAGGTAGGAAAGTGCTATTATGGTATAACTCGTACTGCTGTCCCATTTTTAGCTTTTAGAGGATTTTGTGACTTGAAACAATCCATTTGTTGAACATTCGATGACTATTTGAGTATATTATGAATTTTCTGCTCTCCTCATGTGATCTGGATTTCACAGCATCTCTACCAAGCACTAATCAGAAAAGCCTTTGACACCAGGGAATTAAGATTTGGTAGCTCAGGGGCAGCACACATACTTGTAGCCACAGTACTTCCCCAAACACACACACAATTAGGGATTACATCTGCTCAGGTCTAGGGTGAGGGGAATGGTGGGAATACTGTGCTTAACCCTACTTGTCACATCCTTAAAAGAAGGGTAGGTTATTTCCTTTATGCTGGGGAGTCAATCAAGATGAGCAGGGACTGCTCATCTAAGCTGAATGTCACACACACATTTTCCCATTTCTTTGGGTTTGGGTTGTTTTTTAAGGTTTTACCTGTGTCCACACGGCCTGAGTTCTGTGTCTGCTACCTCATCACAGCAAAGTGTGCAGCAGTTCTCTCGGATGCTCACTTGCTTCAACAAAGCCAGGCGCCTGTGTCTGAGGAGAGAGAGAGAGAAACCCCCCCAAACACATTAGTTTGAATCAAAGCAATAGATTCAAAACTATTCCAAGTATTGCATCAAGGCCAACAAAACACTTGCCTGTGCTACAGCACACTGCTGATAAACATCGATCACCACTTCCCACCAAAAAAGGCTGAGCACCCCCAGAGATGTGCAAAACAGTCTTTGATTCCCTATTCTGGTCTGTCAGGAAGGGACAAAGAGAAATAACAATTCTTCTAGTTACCACAGCTGAACGCTTCAAAAAATTGTTCTTGTACAATTTATGTACAAGGAAAAGTACATTGTCCTGGGTACTTTTAGGACTTAAGAAAAAAAACCCCAATAAACCTCACAAACCCACGTATCAAAAAAACTCAGAAACCCTACAATGCTCTAACACAGTTCAGAAGAATAAAAATTGAAAATAAAATCAACAGCCCGGTATGGCAACAGCCACAAGGGAGAGTAAACAGATAAAAATCCCCCATTTGATTAAATAAGACATTTCACATTTTAGTTGCACTAAATTCAGCACAACTCAACGTGAGTTTATGTTAAATCCTGTCATGGATAATTAGGGTCAACTTGTATGGGCCCTTGGCCTTATTTCCTATCACTTTAAAGATGATCAAAGCTATCTTTTTTAGGATTGGCTTATTGTTTCCAAGCAGTGCAGGCTGTAGGGGAGGGATGAGCTTTGTTTACACAAAGAACAGCAGTGTCCAACCTTGAATGGAGCCTTTCAGTGCTATCGCGTATTAAATAGTCTGTAACACAGGAGGCCAAGTTTTACCAGTCAGGCATCAACAGGAAACCAGTTTCCCCCAGTTTGTTTCTCATCTTTTGGCCCAATTGTGCAGCAGGTAGTGTTTGAAACACTGCAAGAGCAGTGCCAGGACGACATCAATAACAACCACATCTGATCAACAGTGAGAAACTGCACAGCCCCCATCTAACATGGGACACCACTGAGACAGAAGAACATTTAATTTGAAAAGGGAGATGAACAAAATTGTACCTAAGAGATCATCTTAAGGATTAAATCAGACTCTCACTTAAAGCACCTGCAGTCACAAGCAGGAGTAATTTATTCTGGCTGTATGTAAGCACAAAATGGGCTTGCAAGTTGCCTTTTGATTTTCTCTGCATAAATACAATACCCCAAACCTCCAACTTTGCCAACCTGTGACTCCAATCCAGGAGTATTTGTTTTCTTTTCTTTTTAAACCCTACGATACTGAAGTACCTCAAGTGCACTTGATTGAAGAGCTTGATAATTCAAAACCAGTCTCCAAATTTCACTACAGCCAGGGGTACCCCCTCCAACAGCCTTAACTCCCACTTAATTAGCTGCAACCTAAGATTATTTCAACCACATACATCAGCACCAGTCCAAGGACCATCTTCAGACAGGAAATCCAGGGTACACCACATCCCAGATTACACTGTATACTGTTACTGTTTGTGTTCCAGGAAGTTATTTAATGACTAATAACTGAAACCAGACAAAACCCAGGCAATTTATTAGTTTTCATTCCTGCCAGAAATTTGTTAAAGAAAAATGTACCCAAACCCGTTTCTATCTGGCTTGGTTTATATTTAGATGGGAAAACAGTTCTAAATTTGAATGACCTTTGTCAGTACTATCATTCATAAGTAGGGAAATTTTCATCTGGCTCAAAAAAGAAGGAAAAATTCAAAACTTATAATCATTCAGTACCTCCATGCTGCCAAATCACAAATCAGGTCAATTTTAAATATGACATATTTTTTTAATTAAGACTATACCTCCTCAACCAAAGCTCATCCTTCTTAGATGGCAGGAGATACTTCTACTAAAAACAGCTTACTGTGTGGTACTAATTAATTTTAATTTAGCTTAATATTAAAAAAAAATAAATTTAATTTCATGGATTTTGGTTGCACATCTCCTGCCCTACTCATGAAATTGCACTGGAGCAAAGGGAAAGGGACCCATGAAAGCATGACCCCATAAAAAATTAACTTTGCTTAGTACAACACAAGACTCTGCAACTCAGAAGTGAAGCATTTTATTTCTCTGCATGCAAACACACAAAACCAAACAGGAGGATTACCTGGGCAAAATGATTTTCTCTTCTGCTGTCAGAAAGGCATAATCATTGAAGGTACTAAACTTCATGGATGGTGGGTACTTGAAGGGTTTTGCCCCGAAGTTGAACTCACATTGCTGATAGGACATGAAACTGGCTGCAGCAAAAAAGCCAGACCTGCAACATGATGAACAGGTATTTTAGAATGACTTAAATAACAGTAGAGCTTTCCAGACATGTTACTACTATTACCATACAGAAATACACCCTGAGACAAAGAGACAAGTTCCTTCAATACCAGAGTTTTGCAGCTAACTGGGAGAACATCCAGTTTTGGCTGCACGTCCCTTGTTTAGTTCTCAGCTGCTGAATTTATCCGAGTTTCCTACTGACTCAGCCCATAAAGGCTGCCTACTCTGCAACCAGGATTAGTCACACTTACACTAGGAGCAGATACATATCTCTGAATTCCCACAACCTCCTTGCACTGATCAGCTCAGGTATTTTCTTCAGAAGTGGAAAAAAGGATTTTTCTTCCAAACAACTGCTGCTGGCAGAGTTGTGAGGAGCAGCACCAGTGCAAGGGACACCTCCATGGTCTCTGTTCCTTCAGGTTTGTCTGAGCAGGCACAAAGTTGAGGAACTTGAAGCTCTTGTACATTTGTGAGGGACCTGTGCAGGAGGAGTCCAGGTCTGAGCTTCTCAGCTTCTCAGCACAACACCCACCTGCCTGTGCAGGATTAGCTCAGGACAGCTGCCTTTTCATCACAGCCACACAGACAGCTCGTAAAAACACAGCTACTGCCTCTTTCAAATTTATTTACTCAAGGGCCCAAGTTCAGTAATACCCTAAGTTCTAACAAGTACTTGAATATATAAATTACATGCTCAAAGAACACAGCACTGCAAGCTGAATAGACAAGATACTCTGCAACTCTTTAAACTGAACTACTCTTCGCCTCTTGGACACAGTAGGATTAATTTACAAAGTACTGTAATGTTTAATTAAGCTACACAGGAATCTGCTTTATCAAGTATTACACCAGCTTATGTTTTCAGAACTAAAAGGCTGAACTCCCCTGTGAGAGTTGGAGGAGGCAGCCACGTGTTAATTTTTACAGGAGTTTGGAAAATAAACCTAACACCTTTCTGTAAGGCTGCCAAGAGATGTCCTCCCCTGAATACTCAATGTGCTACTCCAGGAGCTGTCCCCAGGGAATGGCAATCAATCAATCAATATGTGCTCTTCAGCATTTACAGGACTGAGGCTTTATCTTTTAAAAGAAAAATTCCTCAAGCACCAGAAAATTGCTCATCTTTGCTACAGCCTCATTCCACTCTAATGCTGTGCTAATTTGCACAGTAGAAAACATCACGTTGAACCTACCTTTGGAAAGTCCAAAGTATTTATTTTGCACCCTGAAATCCACCTGTAAAATTATATCCTTCTTGCTTTCTAAGCAACTTTCAACTGGGAAACCTGCATAATGATGGCTTCAGGTAAGTAAATATGAATTTACATCTCAAATTAGAAGCTCTTCATGTAATTAAAACAATTATCCATAGAGGTCATGTCCTTCCAAATGAGCATATACTTACACAGCAGATGAAAATACTTGCTTCTCAGCAGGAAGCTGGTTTCCATTTAAATAGAAGATCATTTGCTTTTCTTGCAAGTCTAGTAGAAATCCTATTGTGTCTCCTTACATGCAAAACAAAGACAATTTAAAGATTTCACTTCTGTTAAATGCCAGCAGCTGAAACAGTTATTGTTTCAAATATCACAAATGTCACTATGAGTTGTCTCACTTAAAAGGAACTGTTTGCAAAAGCACAAAGGAAGAAAACATTGATACAGAAATTAAAAAAAAAAAAAAACACCCAAGAGAAAATAGTAAAAAAATAAAGTATTTTAGTCTGCCAGAGCATTAATACTACACAGTTATAGAAGTATTGCAGAGTATTTGCCAAAGCCAGAAGAAAGCTGCACTCTGTCACTCCTTGGCTATTTTACCCCTGTTGGAAGATAGACTTTAGCAAGTGTGTGTTCTGGGGATAAATTTCCAATATGCTTGTGCTATTTATTTTTTTTAAGAGGTGTTTTAATTTAGCCATCCTTGGGAGAAAACTCTAATAGAAGAGAAGGCGGCACAGTTCACACAAGCATGGCATGCACAGGCTCCTACCAAGATTTCAAAGCTGAGATCAAGAACAGAACTTTGCTGTCCAAGTAGTTATCCAAGAATTTAAAGTAAGCAAGACAGTGCAACTCCTCCTTAAAAAAAAAAAAAAAAAAGTCTAATTGAGAAATCAGGGTTTTTTTCCCCTTCTCTACAATAACTCTTTGAACCCAGAAAGGAAGATTTCAGCCTTGTTTTGTAGGGCCACAAACATCTGGAAAAAAAGTCTTATGACTAAAAATCTTATGATTAAATGTCCAGCCACGTTAATTGGTGCTGTGGTTTGTACTCTGCCTTTGAAAAGAAAAACTACTTAAGCAACAAGATTCTCTTTACACAAACTGGGGAGCAAGACTGTAGTGCCCACTTTGCACATTCAGACCACTGTTAAAGACACAATAATTCTTAAACCTTTAGGATCATCGGGATTAGGGACAGCTCTGTTCACACACACTAACAGACACCTGCAAGAGTACAAAAAAAAAATCCTGTGCAGAAATCCAGTCAGGATAAACAGAAGATGGGCTGAATACCTTCCTTCCAGCAGGGATGGGAATGTGGTTTGCTTCTGGCATTGTACCAGATCAGCTGCCGGCAGCCATCGTAGGCACAGGAGTATTCGTCGTCCCCGATGCCATAACCTTCCTTTAGAGAGAGAGCAAAACATTTCAGTCTGCAGCCTTTCCTCACTCAGAACAGCTTATTTTATTCACCTAAACCACTCATCTAAGAACAGGAAGGGTTTCTCCCACTTCCATCAGGGTAATGCTTTTTGTTCTTTTTTTTCTTTTTCAAACTAGTCATAGTTTCATTTTCACAGCAAAAAGGAATTTGTTGGGGTGAGGAGGAGGGGAGAAGTGAATATTGTTTCCAAAGTGTTTTCCATTCTCTGTGACCTCAAGTCACTCCTGCCTGTTAAAATATTTAATCATCAGAAGGTCAGTACCCAAATAGCCATGTTAAAGTTTTGCATCTTAAAAGGTCACCACAGAATCATAACCACTCTCTTATCTTGAAGTCCCAGTACCAAACTTGCAGTACCTTCCCCCACAAGATACCCACGTGCCACCAGAACCTACAGCACACAAAGAACAAACCCACAGCCCTTTCACTGAATTTATTGCATTTTGTGTCCTTTTCAGTGCCAGCCTCCCTCAAACTGTGAAAACATTATCAAGTGATAAGGCCCAAGGCAAAACACAAAACTAAGAGTTTCAGAGTGGGAGAAAAAGAAAAATCTGTCATGTAGCAGAGGCCAAACATGAATCTCAAAAGCATTATGGAAGGTAAGTAACTTCCTCATGCTCAGCATGATTTGTCTGGAGTGCAAATACCAGACAGCATCTGATTACACAAGCCTCCCATGTCCCAAATTAAAGCTAAGCCCAGCTAATGGGTGTTTAATGTCATATTTAGGACTAGTCTTTTTGTTACACATGCTGTAAATAAAGAGCATATGGCTTCTGAGGCCTGTGTTTGTGACATACCCAGATGATATCCTTGTATTTCAGGGACACACACCTGATGAACTCAAATAACAGTTGCATTTAGCCACCAGCAAAACAGCTGCAGCAACAGAAAAATCATCCTGCTCAGAGATGCAACATCTCCCATTTTCATACCTTGTACAGGATGCGCTCACAGAAAAATGCACCTACACCAAGCTCCTTAACAGTAAGTGGAGGGAAAAAAAAATCTTTTAAGCCTCTTAGCAGCCTAAAGGCAGACACATGGCCCTTTATTTCCAACAGTTTCTGTTACACTCAGTGTCTACAAGGCCTGTGCTCAGCACAGGTCTGCATTGTATTTTTGTTTGGTTGGAGTTTTTCTTTTCTGTGTGGTTTACTTTTTTTTTAATTTAAATTTAAATCACCTTTTCATTCCATGCTAGAAATGTGGGACTGATCTTTGGATGTGATACAGAGATATGTGCATCAGCAGAGGACAATGTTATTTACATGAATAATTAGAAGAAATGGAGCAAGACCTCTGAACTCACAGGAATACTTAATTTAAGTGGTGAAAAAAGCTACTCCTCCATTCCTCTTGGGTTTCTCACCACTGGTGTCTGTTTAATCTCCTTGATGTATTTCTCCCCTACCCCCCACCATCAATATTTGCTCACATGTATGTATTTAGCTTCTGCATTTGCCTCAGCTGTAGAATGACTTTTTCTATAATAATCAGAAATGAGCAGTTTTAACTGCTTACTCTACATTAAATATATAATTCTTCTTCTAAATTAAATTTCAAGTAGGGACAGAAACCCGTAAAATTACAAAAATAAAGAAGGGCTGTAGGTGCATTTTTTACTCAAGCTCAGCCAGTAGAAGAGTCAACCTAAAATCCCAGTGCTGTCTTTCCATTCTCAGCAGTAGGTGAGGCCAAACATGACTTTTAGTCCTAAAATTCTAGCTTGCACTTCAATGGTCGTTTGGAAGGTTGATAATATGAAAAATTAACTCTAAGCTGAAGTAGACGAGTTTTTGGGTAGTCATTGTTATGCTTTCTTACTGTTGTGAAAATACTGAAGCAAATTATGCCACAGCATACACAGTCTGTAACACCCATACAGAGCTACCACCAAGATTTAAGAAGAAACAAGTCCCAGTTACATCTCTGTGATGATTGGCTATGTTTGGACTTCATGTGCACATGGCACATTTTGCTTTAATAGCAGCAAGTACATAATCTTAAAAGTAAATAGTAGGAAGAAGGATACTTAGAATTAAGAATGAGACACAAAGTTATCTGGATGAGAAGGACAGCAAAGAAAACTATAAAATATGTCAGTGCACTTGTTCTGTACTATCAGAATAAAGGCAAAGGGGTAAAGGGTTTAATCCTTTTGTAATCCTTATTTTTAATTTATAAGAAGCTTTCACATGCCCAAACTGTACCATACTGCTGCTCCCAGCAGACCAGATGATACCATGCTATCCCAGAGTCAATTTAAATAAGTTCTTTCCCTTATGAAAGTTAATTTAACAGGAAAGCATGTCAAAGAGGGCTGCTTGGTGACCTGTGTAAGAGTGCATGATGAACTGCTGGTTCCTACTGACTTACTGTTTACTTACAAAAACAGACAGTAACCACTGTTATCTAAAGAATTTCCAAGAAGAGACTAAGCCACAAGAAATAAGTTCCCTGTAGCTTCCAGACAACAGCAGGCAGATAACAAGCTGTCACTGTTAGCAGCTCTGCAGGACTTGTGTGAACAGTGTCAGTCTGTAGCAATGACAACACAAGATTTCTCTTGTGCCACCAAATTCAACAAAAACAGCTTCATGGAAGCACAGAAAAACTGAAGGACACAACCAAGCGCTCAGTCACCACCACAGAATAACCAACCAGAGCTATTTTCACAGGTGTTGCAAGTAGAAAAATACTGATGTTACATCATCAGCTCCATGAAATTTCGTGTACTCACATGGTTGAGAAATTTACTGTCTTTGGTGGCCCATCCTATTTGCATCACTCCCGAAGTGATGACTGTGACTTCATAGTACCAGACCCCGGAATCGACGCAGAACGTGCACCGGACGCTTTCGAAGGACGAGGCGTCACATCGAGCCTACCAAAAACCAAACCAAAAACTCAGCTTCTGCAAAATGAGCACTCCAGAGAGCCTCTTTTCACCCCTGGATCGAGTTTCTTGCGTGTAAGGATACACCAACATAATTTTAGAGGCACTTCAGACAAAGTGACCTCTCTTTATAGCAGTAATTATCACAAAAACTAGTGAGTAGGCAAGACTGAAAATTGTCTGGTGGTTAAGCCACAGGAAAAAGGAAAAGTAGGAGGTTGACAAAGTCAATTTAAAGATTTAAAGACTAAGACAACCAAGACAGGAAGACTTAAATCACTGGTTTATTAGCTGACTTCTGATATGAAGGACAAGGAGGTATTCAATGTTAAGTCATGAAAATTCATCTCTAAGTAGTCAAGCAAGTTTTTAGAAGGAGTTACAGAGGGGGGAAAAAAACCCCACATGGCTGAGACAAAAATCTGATGCTCTTTTCAAGGCTAAACAGCATAAACAGTAGAATTATACTTTGTGTAATTTTAATCAAAATGAGTGAAAAGCCAGCTGACTCAAGCATCCTCCTTGTTTCTCTGAAGTTCTGGGGCACAGATATAGGCATTACTTAATTTGAATGTTTCTACAACTGAGATCAGGGTAGTGATGTTACAACCCTCCTGATGACAAAGCAAATTTTCCTGTATAAAGCTGGCAGAGAACTTGGATTAATTCTAGGAAAAAAATCACTGGAGCGAGTGGCGAACAAAATAGTTGAAACCTGCCTTTTTCTTCAGACTTTTTCAGGTTGAAAACATGAAAACAAATATCCTACCTCTAATCCATGTGGTGAGATCTTCAGGTATTCACTGACATCGTTACTGTTCAGCATAGCCCTAATGTTGGTCAAGTCAACCTTCTCATATGTAAACTGCCTGCCTTCTTTTAAAACTGAAAAATAAAACCAGTTTTAATGATTGCTGCAGCAAAACTTGATTTGAAGCATTTCACACAGTGACAGTCAATCTCTCTACGATCCAGGTAATTTTTGGCATAACTGAATGAAGGATTAACATTTTGCCTGCATGAAAACAGCTTCCAGTGCACTGTGTGTTAAATATCCTGCGTGACCTGTACCTCTGACTAGAGCTCCCACAGTCTAATTGCTATTTCAGGAAACCCACAGGCAAATGGAAGGCATCCAAGTTCACACCAAGGTGCCACTGTTTCAGGACTTACCATTGTATTGGTATATTCAGCTGGGCAGAGTTTTTCCTGATTCATCACAGCAGAAAAGATTTGGGGATGGGAAGAAGGGGGAAAATAAGGACTTAAAGTTTTGTATCCTCTCATTTCCAGGTAGGTGATGAACTTAAACTGAGCCAAAGTAGCTCTGTCTCCCTGCTTCCCCTTTCCACATGGAAGGATCAGAAGCATTTATCCTGCCAGGTGTCAAACTGCTGACACACACATGTTAATTTACAAATCAAAGATCCTATCTTCACACATCCCAAACTTGCTACAACACTTGTACAGACATTTATTAAACACAACTGACACTGGCACATGAAGCCCAACAGACCTTTTACACAAATTTATCTAAAAGGCATTAGAAACTATAAGGTTCTCAAGAGTTGCTGCACCCTTGAAATCACAACTAAACGAGCAAATTTGATGACAGCTATGTCCATCTTTTGGATGACTAACAAAAAGTGCTTTGTCAAACACTTTTCAGTTTTGATCATAAGACCATATCTTAAATTTAGAAAGTCTTTAAGGATTCTTTGAGCCTGTGCACCACTGGGGTGTGACCACAGCAGTGACAGCCACCAGGACTTGTCAGCAATCCAGCTGTTCCACAGAGACAGAGCTGCTCTACTGAGCCACTCAGCACATTTGCTGAAACGTGGGTTGCAGGACATTGGTGCAAAGAAGAATTTTCACTGCAGCTCCAACTTGCAGAGTACACACCACTTCCTTCCAAAAACATTTTCCTTGCCAAAATTTCCTTTGCATGCAATTAGACTGGATAAATTTGTTGGGTTTTTTTTCACTTTTGTTTTCTTTTTCAAGGAGATATTACAAATGCAGCCAGGTATAGTAAGTGCTTACATAAAACAAACACAAAGCAGTCTTCCATTCTCTTTGGAGAAGTGCTTAATGTTAAATGAATCCATCCCTTTGTTATACCTACACAGATTGTCTAAACTCCACTGGGCACAGAATCCAACCTGGCGTTTTAAGTAGTCTGGATTATCTGTCCATTTCTCAAGCAAGATCAGTTGGTCACTGATGCACGATTCAGAAACTGTCATTTTATTTTCACCTGCAATTTAAGAGCAAAAAGAATAATTGCTAGGGACAAATTTAGTTAAAAATAGTAAACATCCTACACATGCAGTAGAACCCTCCACACACATTTAAACCTGACTATTACAAATAACACAAAATTCTTTCCCCAAGCAGATGTGAAATTACCTTCACTCAGATTTACCACTTCTCAGCACAGAGCTGCACCATCAAGAGACAGATCACAGCTTTTCTCCATCTCTCCAGTACAGATTTATTTCTTTTCAAGTAACAAAGGTCTCATGTTGTAAGTCATTATGTAGTAATTTCTAAGCTGAGGAGTGAGTTTCAGCAAATCTCTTAAGGGTTTGTGGGTGGGGGTGTCATTAAAGCAATAAGTGTTTTTTCCTGCCTACAAACTCCCAATCCTGACTGTTCTCCATCTCTAATACAGATTTGTTTCAGTGACAAAGGCCTCGTGTCACAAGGCCTTCTACAGCAATTTCTAACAGGGAAAATAAGCAAATTCAGCAAATATCTCAAGGGTTTTGAGGGGTAGAGGGACGTCACTAAAACGATAAATATCTCTTCTTGCCTGTAAGTGGACAAGCATTTCTCTTAAATATTTGTGATTCCACCAATGCAGTCTCTGATGCTCAGAGATCAGAAAAAGGGACAATCATGCAGCAGGAGCCACAGGGTGATTTTTAAGAGCAGCATCAGGCCAATACTTACTTGTTTGTGCAAACTTCTCCAGTGCTATTAGTGCAAAAAGCATCACTGTCGGGTGGGACTGGAAGTTCTAAACATGGACAGTAAGAAGAGTTATTTAATAAATACCCAGCACAGATGGACAGGAAGAGCTGTGAGTCTGTCACAGAATGTTTTAGGTTCAAAGGAACCTCTGAAGCTCCTGTATTCCCTCCCTCCTGTGAAAAGCTGGTTTGAATAGATCAGGCTACCCAGAGCCTCATCCCACCGACTCGTCATTACCTTCAAGGACTCTGGAATCTCAGCTTTCTATAACACACTTCCAACTATTTACCAAACATGACCCTAACTTTACACAATAACAAAAAAAATTGCATTATAATTGCTATGTATGGATGCCTACAAAAAGATCAAAGACACTTACCAAGCTCTGAAGTAAATATTCCAATATTCCTGGGCTGAGTAAGCCGATGCTCGCGGGACCTGCAAGAACACCAGGAATGAAATCCATCCGTGGGAACCACCACATACTCATCATCACAGATCTCTCAAGCACAAGGTAACAAATTAAAGAACATCTAAGAGTTTCATAGCCAAGCAGAACTATGATGTAGAACAATTATCATTGTTCCCAGTCAAATACTTGCTGCACATTTGATAATTACAGTTACTGGCACATTACAGTCCTTTTCAGTTTATCTGCTGTAAGTGGGTACAGAGTTCTAGTCATGCTTCTGAGAGTTTGAAATAAGACTCCACCAGCCTCCACTAAGCATTTTCATGTTCATTACTTTCACAAAGAGACTCACACCCTTTTACTTTCAGAGTCAACATGTAAAGTCCAGCTCCATTTATCAGTAGCCCAAAATAATCAAAAGTGACAATCTGATATCACCAACTTGATAGGCAATTCTACAGTTTGCAGCAGCACCATAGCAAGTAGCCAATTTAAAAGAGAAAAGTCCTGAAATACTGTCTGCTGAATCAAAAGGGAATCAAATTTTGGCATCTACAAACTAATTGCAGTGGGTTCCAACACTGCATTCACAGATTTGCTGCCTGAGCTGATACAATGAGATCTGTGTCCACTAAGATGAAAACAGATACAGGATCTCATTTTGATTTAGTATAATAAGGTAGAAATATTACAGCACAAAAATGCTTCCAGTCCTTGTTCTTTATTTTGTTTTTTTGACAGAAATTGTTTTTTAATAACCATTAAGTGATACCAAACAATCACTTTTTTCCTCTATTTCCTATCCACTTTCAGAAAAGAAGCAAAAAAACCCAGATATAAAACAGTCCATTAGCAGGAAGGAAACTTAATCATTGGTTTCCAAACAGGGTACTAGAAATAACAGGGAATAAAAATTCTATAGGAAAAATCACTTTAAAATAGAATCTCAGCAATTTTCTTTTAAGCAACGCAGAAGAGAGAATCTTTTCAGCTGACTACAACAGAACAAGACACGTCTATTGAAAAAATCATCTTTTTTTTTTGTTTGTTTCCATACAGCCTCCAAGGCCACCAATTTTACAGTTCTGCCTACTGGGTATGGAATGTGTCCTTAGTAATTCACAGAGTAGGTCTACAGAGGAGGGTGATTAGCAGTGCTAAGGCAATATTCCAGCAACAGTGATCCTCAACCACTAACCAGGCAGCAGGATTTGTGAATGGCTCATTTAAACCCCGGCTGGTGAGACTTTGACACTTCAATCAAGCAGATTCTGTCACGCCCATCACCCACGGTCTGCCCTCCATGCAGAACATCATTCAAGCTCTAAGAAAACACTCCTGACCTAGTCTGCATCGTGGCTACTTAAAGCAGGAGGTGCTGCAACAAGCCCAGTGCCAGCTGTCAGAAGAACCCCCCCGGCTTTACCTGCCAACTTCTCTGCTAAGCAGCCGAGCACTGCAGTGGTGTTCCGGTGCTTGGCAGGGTGACAGGCATCCTGGCAAGCAGCAGCTCCACTTAAGTTCAAGATTTCTGTTAACTTTTGTAATGCATCCTGCAAAAGAAAAAAAAATAAATCAGAATCTCTTTAGCATTACTGACAGATGCAGCTCCCCCACCCCAGCTCAACATATTACGACAAATTATTGCTACACTCTGTTACCGAAGTCAGCCTCATATAACAGACAGCATGGGGTGATTGTCTTCTAAGATAAGATAATAAAGGACAGATGGGAAGAAAAGGTCAGCAGAACCAAGAATTGTAACTTTAAAATCACCACCAGATTGTTGGTCATTGCAGTGATCAACAGCTCAGGACACTTGTGGACACACCTAAGCGAGCTCCCTACAGCAACAGGAACTATTATAAGTAGACAAAGGCAAACAACACCAATCAGCACATATCACATCTAGTGTTTCCAGTGTCCTAAAACTCACACCCTTTCCAAAAGAAAAGGACTGTTTCAGATTTTAGAATTAAGGACTACAGAGACATGCCCCCCCTCCCCAAAAAGCCCACGTTCCCATAATAAATTTAGGATGCTGTCAGCTTTACAGGATGTCATAAATGGTATTCTTGAGGGCATAAATGGCTTTATGTAGTCACATGAATTTAGGAAGTAAATGAGGGTAATAAATCTAAAATGACTAACTTCATTCAGGCAGGATGGTATGGATAAAATTCAAGATAGATCTAGAGCATATCCTGCATTTTCAGGGTAGCCAGGGGTTCATCTAGAGCCAGAACCAGTCATCTCATAGGGAAAACCCCACCCTGCAAAGTTCCAAATCCTCCTCAACTTTCCAGACTTCATGAAAGTTTCAGCTGATTCAGATTGAAACTGCATAATCTCAGGCAAGGATCTAATTAAAATAGAAGAACTCCTCATATTGAAGTCATCAGCAGCCATTTGGAGGAAAAATGAGCACTGCTCAAGTTGAAGAGATGTGTTTTTTTGAATTGTGTCCTGAGCCACACTGAAATCAGTTTACTGTGCTTAAGTCTGAGGTCTGTCCAGAGATCACACTCAAAAGCAGTTATGTTCTTAAAAGGAAAGCCACAAAAACAGAACTGATGAACAGGACTGAGCTAAGTGGAAAGAACAGAGAAAGAAGAAAATGACTAAGCCATAGACTTGGGATGGAAAAGCCTCACTAAAATTAGACTCTTGACATACTCTGATACTGCTTTTAGCCATTATTAGAACTGTCAGAGATCAACTATTTTGAGTTAAATAAAGACTTTATAGAATAAACAGTTTACTGCACTGCCATTTTAACTTTATGGACTTCACAGCCTGCAATAACAGAAAATTAAATACAGCCTGCTGCTGTTCTCCATCTGTCATGGAAGTGGGGCACTGACCTAAAATTCTTAAGACCAAAAACTTTAAACTTATCCAGTACAGAAAGTGAACAGCAGCACACACTTCACTAGGCTGCACGTGACCAGCAGATCCCACAGCTGCAGCTGTGTGTGCTGTAAGAAGACTACACAGCAAAAACCTCTGTGCACCCCAGAAAAAACAGGCACCTTGATCCTTTTGTCTTGATAAGATCAGCTATTTTGGGGCAAACTCCTTAAAGTACCTAAAAAAAAAAAGTCCCGTGGCTTTTGAAAACAAATGATTTGGTTGCCAAACACACTGTATAGCCTAACAAAACATCCCAAATCACTCTTCATATGGTGCATTCCCAGTGGTCTCCATTTCCTGACTTCTTTTTTCAAGCAGGCAAAGTTTCTAGTCATGGCTTTGCTTTCAAAATAATGCTGCAGTTTGTGTGACAGTCAAAATACATTTCTCGTGTTCAGAAGTCTCAGATGCCTTTAATCAACAGCCAAGAGGAAACAAACCCATTTCAGGTAGTTTGAGAGCTTGACTAGTTCTCCAGCCACTCCTGCAAACAGCTTTTTATACCCTAACACCACCAGTGGAAAACTAAAACTGGCAGCATCAGTAGCTTGAGAAATGAAAGCTGCAATGATGTGATCATCGATTTCTGAAGAAGTGAGATCATGACAAGATTTGAAGACAGACAAGTTCATTATGTTTAGCATGTTGAAGCACTTGAGGCTCTCACTAACCCAGCTGTACCAACACCTCGGGTCATTTTTCCACCCAAAACCAGATTAGTGGTCAGTAAACAAAAATAAAAATATTCTAATTAGACAAAATGATACAGAGATATTTCATAGTTAAAAAACGTCACTTGTTTTAACTTCACACACTCCCTTGTGCTGCATTCCTTACGTGCAGGGCAAGAACAAATTCTATAGTGACTTGTAAACGTGCAGCTTTCTGAAGGTGAGAACAAAAGGGCAGAACTTGTACAGCTTTTGCAGCACCTGCACAGCACAGGGCTGTTTGTACATGGCAGAGGAGGGCAGCCAGAAAAACAACTACAGACCAAAAGACCTCTTGTTCTTTCCTATAAACCATTTATCTTTTTTTTTTTGGGATGGGGGGGAAAAATGCTTCTAGCATTAATTAGCACTTAGATACCAAGTCACCACAAATGACACAAAATTGAAGGTTACACCCATTTTCTGAACCAATGACAGTCTTGCATCACCCATGAAACCCACCCAGAAGAGATCACGGGTGTGGCAACCACAAGTAACTGACGTTCAGCCACAGATAAATAAATACATTTGCTTTCGACTCACTTTTGTTGGCAGTGGACATTCATCAAGTAGTAGCGTTATAACAGCTGGTCCCAGGGGATCTTCTAATGGAATAACTCTAATTAAAGATTGGACAACTTCCAACCAGCCTTCATCTGTCAACCACAAAACAGAAGCGACGCTCAGAATTAACACTGCGGTTCTGAAGTGTTCAAAATACATCCCCCAAGTGTAAATTGAAAAATCCTCCAAATTACCCAGCAGGTTTGCAGATGGCAGGGGGAAATAGTTTACTTTTTTACATCACTACTTTGCACTAGTTTGGAAGTTTAAATTCCAGAAGGAAAAAAAGCTTACAGGAGCTTGGGTTACAGTGAACACCTCTGCTGTTTGCAGAGCAGTCTTGCCCAGGCCATCCTTTAGTTCCCACTGCTATTAGGAAGGGCTGCTCATGGTGCACTTTGTTCTAGTGTGATACTCAAGAGCTCACCATCCAGTGCCAGCTCTTAAGTGTTAAAAGCAGCATCAACAGTGACACTGAGGAAATATTTTTTTTTAAATCACAATCAGATCACTCTTCCTGAGTTCCCTCAAGTAACATGAGTTTGTCCCATGCCTGCTGGTCTAGAGAAAATTTGTTTTCCTAAGGAACAGCTCTCCCCATTGAATGAGTTAGACAAGGGCTTTTGCTTGCAAGCAAACAACAATCCACATATAAGATGTTAACCTACCAATAAAGTAAACAGATTTGGATTTACAAGAAAGTAATTCCCTTAGAAGTGAAAATAAAGAGAGTCTATATCTGTATGCAGGCAAGTGAGTCTGAAGTGATGTTGCTGCCCTCAACAATGACAAGAACACAGCAGTAACACATTGAGGGTTTGAGTTTTGTCAGCACATTGCCCTGAAAAGCATTTTACTGAATTGCTGTGATATCTAACCAGGTTGATAAATTTATTTTAATACAGAAATATATTTCCTAAGACCGGTATCAACTCTACTGGTAGAGAGACTAAAATTCATCTAAACCAGAAGTTTGGTGGAGGTCTTGAGCTGGGAGAATTTCTCCTACTGTAACAAAGATAGAAGAGCCCCTGCACAAACTTGGCTCATCTTGCAGGAGCACTTAGGGACAGAGTTAGAACAAATACATCAGTAAAGCAGAGGTCTAAGGTCAGCAAAACCCAACCCAAACCAAAGAGTATGTGCTATTTGAGGACACCAGAGCATGTGGGCTTAAACCATGTCCACATTGACATATTAGGCTGTTCCTGCCTGAGCTGCAAACTGCCATTCTTTGTGGCTTATGGTTTAATGCCACTGACATTGGCTCCTTCTGGAGAGTTCACGTGGGAACTTTAATGGAGTCAAAGAAACTCAGGCAAATGCAGAGAGCTCAGCGAGGCTTCTAAAAGGCAAAATTGTATTCTGGATCCCACATCCCCAGAGCTATAGCAAGTTGTACCACATCCTGCTAGCATGTATTTTTCTTTGCAAAGAAAAGAGGGCTCTGGGGTTTGGGTTTTTTTAGGGTTTTTTTTGTTTGTTTTTTTTTTGCTTAGGAGTCACAACTGAAATGTCCAACACAATGCCTTGATACCTGTTTCTGCCATTTCATGCAACGTGATCATTGAATAAGGAGGCTCCTGGTCACTGAAAGAGATATTACACAGGTCAAAATTTATGCACAGTCATCAACATAATACGCTGAATAAAATGATAATGCACAGACATGAAACAAATCCAGGAACTGTTTAACAAAAGGATGTTACATAGGCTGCAGAATGCTAATGCCGCTTTCAAATCTGAAACACAGATGGGATTTGAGCCTTTCTTTGGCTCAAAGTCAACATCTGCATATCTGCAACAGCTGCTAAGTGGAATTGTGATCCCCATCTGCAAGTCTAAAAGCTGAATATAATGCTTAGGCTTAGTGCTGTTCATTAGCAGGGTTCCTCAGAGCACATAACAGGAGGCTGCGTGTCAGGGGTCATGAAGTGAACCAAGAATTGCACAAGGGGCATCGCTTCTTCTCTGCTAAATATATAAATATTAAAAAAACTGAAAGGCAAGCCACCTAACAGCATCCCAGCCTACAAACAAGAGCTGATAAAGAAGATGTTAAGGCAGTTTAACAGAAGATATTTAACCAATCCCCTTCCAACAGGTAAAACAAAACGTTCAACAGATCATCTCCTCAGACTGGTTTGCTGGAGCAAGGACACGAAGCCACAGCCAGGTCTGAGTATCTGTGCAGGCACTGCCCCTGAAAGTACCTAAAGCAAGATCCCAAAATCCTGTTCAGTAAGCACCTCAAAGGTCCAGAAAAAGCTTATGCAGCAGCATGTCCTAAAATGCCTTATTCAGTGCTCCTTAAGTGCTGGGAACTAACCCAAGGCTTAGACTTCCACGTTCCACACTCAATTTCTATCACACAGAGCTCTGGAATGAAATTGGAAATGCAAAATACAGAGAACTTTTAGAAAATTTCAACAGACATTAATTACACAGATAATAAAACTACTTACCTAAGAGGGATTAATTATCAAAGAAGGGAAAAATCTCAGTTTTGATGAAATATATGTATGATGTAAATACATGTTTTTCTTACAAAAAAAAAAAAAAGGCATTCTTAAATATTTCCTCAAGGAAATGCTAAAGAGAAGTTTAACCCATTTTTATATTGTCACATTTAAAACAAAGAGTTGGACTGTGGGTTTTTTTTTTCCTCCAAGCATATCCACCTTTCTTCTGGAAATTAATCTCCCCAGCAGGAAAAAGAAGTGCAATACTGCAGGTAGAATTACCTCAAGAGAGAGAGGATATAAAGATTCAAAGAAAGAAGAAAAAAACTCCAATCATAAGTACAAGTAAAAGCTATGATTAAAAAGGATGAATTTTTTTCTGCAAGTTTTCTGATTCCATCATGGGTAGCAGGTGTTGGCAGTACTGACACTGAGCAAAGCACAGTCCTGCCCCACTGATTTGTCATTTTAACCACTTAATGTCCAAACATCTCCTGCAGCACACACCTTCCTCATTTTGAAACAAAACAGCCATTTTTCTAATTTCTTAGTTTGCAAAGTAGTTCTTCATATAAGCTCTGTAATGTAGAAATTATCCTTCTGAATCTAAGAAATTAAACTGAGCTCCTTTCTAGAAGAAAAGGAGTTTTCTAGATATGAGAGAAAAAAAAAAATCAGCTGTCAGATACGTTTTTTGACTGATTTGATAAAACCAACCAAAAAAACCCCACCTCAAGAAAAAACAAATAGCAAACAGAGAAAGCAATTGTTCATTGCAGAGATCACAGTGCAACAACTTAACTTACAATTCATCTCACAGTGTTCCCATATATTAACTTTCAGTACAGGTTAGAAAAAAGTTTTCAGATAAAGAGTTTTGCCTCCCATTCTTTGGCCATCTTTTGCTCCACAGCCTGGACTTCTAATCTGCTGTTACTTCTTACATTGTTTTACGTTAGTTTGACTTTATTCTTGCACATTTTTTGATGTGAAAAGAGATTTTTAAGCTTCCCTAACGTTTCCTTCAGTTGTGGTGTTTTCAAAACTGAAAAATCAGGCTCTAGGAGGAGCAGGTGATAATGGAACACGCTTATTCCTACAGTCTCTCATCCCTGAGGTGGGCAGTGAACAGGAGAAATCAGAGTTCAGTCTGCAGCTACATAATGGGAAAGAACAGACAGGACAGTCAGGCTCTTGTGAGAGAGGCCTGTGTTGGAACATGGGAAATTCTAACTTTTAAAAATACTTAATTATTTAAAACATGGAAGTGGTCAAACACTGGGACCCAAAGAGGTGGAGAATCTCTTTATTCTGAGCATGTTCAACACTTGACTGGATAAAACCACCTGCTCTGGCTAAGCCTGGGTTTTATGCAGGAGGCTGGAGTGGATGAACTTCAAGAGGTCCTTTCCAACCCATGTGATTATACGACTCTAAGAAAGTTTTTCACTACAGTCTGCATTAAAAAAAAAAATACAGTAGCTTCAGGAATTAGTCAGAAAAAGGACTCCAGGGGCAGTGAAATAACTATGCTTATTGTCCCTCAGTAGCATAGGAAAGTGCTTAGAAGATTATAAAACTGATTGCAAGACCCACAGGAACAGGATCAGCTGTGCACAAAAGTGTTGTGAAACAGCTTAAGGAGCTGAACTTGGGGAAAGGGGAAGGCATGCAGGATTAGGCAAAGACTTTCAAAAATGTTTGCCATGGTTTTAACTTAGTGATTTGAAGACAGACCACAAAATAAAACCTGTTAAAAAACCCACGGACACACACCTTAGATTTAAATGTTCATGAAAAACATCAGTCCTGGTATTTCTATTTAAAACATTTTACAGCAGGAAGGCAAACTCTTCTGCAGGCACATTCCAGAGTCAATGCAGGTGTATGAATCAAGACTCATTTATTCTGAGCCTCATCCACCTTAAACTCAAGCCCCAGCTGTGAAGCTAGAATAGTGTTTTTCCTTCTGTTCTGCTCTTTCCAATTCCTAGCCTGCACCTAACCCAAAAGGTGATGAGCTAACTTAACCCATCACTTTTAAGGTCCTTTCAAAGCTTTTTAGAAAGCAACACAAACCCAAAAAAATAAGGATGAACCTGTAAATATCCTCCACACCCTTAATGGATGCTTTGGGCATGCAAGGAATGCAATACTGGGATGTGAGTTGGGCAGTCACAACATGTGATCTTTAAAAAGCAGTCAGACTCATAACTGGAAAGAAAACCTCAGTCTGTTTATCCAGGCTAACAAAGATCAAAGTTTTCCTTAACCACTTCCAAAGAAGTAAATACAGCCTGAAAACAGAAAATCTGAACAACCAACTTTTAGGACAGAAGTTCCCAGGCTCTGGAGTGTTCATTGCTTCCTAAACTGTGTATCTGTGCCAGGTAAGAAATACTGAGCACACTCCTCATCCCACCTGGGTGTAGGCCCATGCAGGAACTGTGAGAAAGCTCCTCAGCTCCTGGAAGAGTCTGTACCTGGGCACTCAGGAGCTACTTCTGTTACCTAGGAAAGGTGCTCCTCTCCTAAGCCTCCAGCTGGAAACACAACGGCTGCTTCAGGGAGGGTCAGGTGCAGATCGGTGAGAGGATGGAGCCACAGTTTGAGAGGAGACAAGAACATTTTCATTCATGTTGAACTATTCCTTGAGGAGGTACTTACTTATCTACCAACGTCCGAATTACAGCCAGTGTGTCAAGCACCAGCCCGTCCACATTCTGTTTTTTCCTCCTTGGCTCGTGAGGCCCTCGACCCCTCCTGGGTGGACGGACAGGGTCCCTTGGGTGGCTTCTTGCCTCGGGGATGTGTGCTCTGCTGTTCTCCGTTTGCCGGCCCTGAGATTCCGCGTTGTCCTCTGCTCCGCTGTCGTCGCGGCAAACGCACGAGTTTCCCATGTTTCCAGCCCCCAAGGCTCCCAGCAAACGGGGAACGTGGTGCTCTAGAGTCAACAGCAAACCTTGGAAAAGGCTTCTGCTAGCGTAGAACACAGCCAAAGCAACTACAATCATCTAGAAAGTTTTAAGAGGAAAGTTTGTGTGATCTTGAATCGAGATCTTTTCGCATTACAAGCGTCGCTACCAGCTGGAATGAACGGGAAGGTGGAGATTTAAGTTGCCGATAGAATCGCTCAAAACTCACGTTGGTCATCAGAAGGAGGTCTGAAAAAGCAAACCCAAAACAAGAGTCAGTGTTATTACTGCTAATGAATAACAGAAGGATTCCTGTTTTAGTAAACAGGACCAGTCTTGGTGGACAAAGCACCAACATAAGGCTTGTACCTGGAGTCTATTGTGGGGAGAGGGAAAGGAAGGAAAAGGAGGAGGAGGAAGTTCCCTTGGTAAGTAGCTCTCGCCCACGCACCATTCCTTTCTACACTACCTATTATTTCCCAATTCTTTCATGGTTTCTAGATGCAGAGGAACAAGTTTGTCCTTAAACTGAGCACACTGCCATCCTCTAAGTCCCAAGTATCAACAAACCAGTTTCATTTACCCTTTATAGAGACACACAGCTTATGCCACCCCAATAAAGGCTGAACATTTAAGGTTCTCATTTCACATCAGGAACGTTCAGTAACATTTCCAGACTTTATAAAATACACAAAATTGTAAAGAACTAATCTTAAAGTTGTGGTCTACTTCAACAAACAAGAAATTTAACAAGGAAACATTTAATTTATCTGTGTATAAAACACACCTCTTTGGAATGTGTCTGCATCTACGATTCTCACCCAAAGAAGCACCAAGTACAAACCTGAAACAAACAGGAATTACAGACACCACGTTAATGCCTACAGGTCTAACTGAGATTTTGAAAGGGGTGTTGTATGCCTGTTTGGATCTAGTGTCAAACCAATCTTCCCTTTTTGGGAATGAAGACTAACTCAATCATATTCTTCTGCTCCTGATTCAAATGATTTGGACCAAATACAGGCCCAGTAGCAACTGAGACTGTAGGGCAAACCCTCCAAATCATTAAATTGAAAATGCAAGAGCAAAAGGATTCAAAGCCCCATTTCATTACCAGTTATGTTTCAATGCACAGGGCATATTGTTATAGAACATTACATAAAGTCTCAGGTAAAATAAAGCCCTACAAAAGACATGATTTCCCTACTTAAACACTTCAAGCATGTCAGAATAAATAAGTAACTTTTATCCTTTTAAGAATCAAGTTTAACATTTACACTAGAAGTTATGGTGAATATCCTGTAATACATTATTATTCTACAATTATTAAATAATCTCTTTAACGTGTAGCTCCATAAAGTTAAAAGAAAGAGAGAGCTGACACCTTTCAAATATGAAAGGCCCCCACCATCAGGGCCAACTGGCAAGTGTGCCATTGCTGGCTGCCCTTTGGGACAAGATCACAACAACATTATTTGGGAAGCCAGACACTGGTCACAGGAGAGAGTCTCGGGTTGTCAGCTGTCACTGGAAAAGCACAAGCTCTCACAGGCTCTTCTGTGTTTATCTTCTTGTAGCACAGTGAAATGTTCAGTGTTAAGAAATTAACTGAAGGCTAACTAAGAAAAAAAACCCTAATTCCTCAAGGGATATTGCTTGCAAAAAAAAATACAAGATCTTGATTTCTTGTTCAATAAATTCCTAACATTGTTAGAAGAGGGTTTCAGCATCACATCATGCTTGCCTTACACCCTAAACAGTTTGACCACCAGGCTCTGAGTCTTTCCATCTGTTATCTTCTCAGTCAGCAAGTCACAAGCAGATGAGAGGTGCCAGTACAGACTGCAAGGATCTCAAACAGAATTGTGTAAGATCACAACTGGTTCAAATGACTTTTTGGTTTTTTTAAAAAGAGCTACTTATGGTAAATGCAAAACCTGTCTTCCTAGGGAAAAAATATGCATATATTTATGAACCTAGATCATTTAAGGACATTTTAGCAAGATAATGCTGAAGTGTAAAAGTGTTACAGACTTTGAATATGGGTAAAGCTGCAGCTTACAAAAACATTGACACAGCGAATCTATCTTGTCACCAAAACAAGTATGGAAAAGCTGTATTTTAGGGATTAGCAATGAGTAAGAACCTACCTAAAGAAACAAAAATAGACATAAGTCAAGCTTAAAACTGATTATTGAATCCCAGGTTTTTCTGGTTGACAGCTTAGAGCATGATTAGAAACAGGTGATTATGATCAACTCACCCGTAAGTTTGCTCTGTTCAGGAACAGTTGGGGTTGCTCACAAAGTGCTGTCACACAAGTGGACTGTCCTTCTTCAGGGCACAAAGCTGTATCCAGGAAAGGCAGGGCTGTGGGAGCCTTTATGGTGGGCAGTGAGTCATTACAGCTGACTCTGCTTTCACTTCTAGGAGCTGCTCTGAAGAGTCCCTGAGGACAGACGGGAAAGAAAGAACAATTCACTTGGAAACTGCACCTAAGGTAGGTGAACTCCACCTCCTCCCCACACCTGCCACGCTGGTACTTTCAGCTCCATTCAGCCTTTACAGGGGGAATTCTCTCTCAAAGCTCCAAAAACCAGTTTGTCATCTGGTAGCTTTAGGACAAGACACGGACACAGAAAACCCAGTCCGTTTTTACAGCCTTGGCATTCCAGATACCACAGCACCAAGTGCAGAGCAGTGACCAACTCCTCCCCTCAAATTACAGCTTAGAGGAGGAAGAAGAGAAGCAATAATATCTGCTCCAGATCACCCTCAAGTAGAGACAGCAGAAAATAAAAGTACACTACAAAAGTTGATTAGATAATAGAAAGAGAGAAATGACAGGATAAACTCCCCTTATTTAGTAAAGAGCTGAGTTTGACAGCATTCACTTGGCTGTTGCTCACCATCACATACAAGGAGCTCATTGTCAAGCCTCAGACAAACTGAGAGACTAAATAATTAGGAACATAAGGTAGAAAAAAAAAGATTGCTACAGATCTGCCTCACAAACCAGCTTGTTTGGCCAGAGTATGAATAAGCGCAAAGGAAAAGCATTTTAAAAGTCTTTTAACAGTGATGTACTAGATTGCATTTGAGCTGCCATAGTTCTTTAAGGACATATTTACAACATTTTAATAAACTGACTTCAGCATTAGGCTGCTGGTGGCCATCCCAACTCCACTCTCACTGCTGAAGACAACAGAGACATCACACCTCAGTTCAGGCGCAGAATGGAATGGGAATTGGAGTGATCAGCTCTGTTCCTGCCCAAACTCTGAGACCTCAGAGGCACAACCAAGACACATAAGCAGAAGCATTTTGCACATCATGGAAGATGAAATATATTATTGCTTCAAAAAGAGGTAACGACCTCGGCATACAGAGGTGGAAAGAAATTCTAAAATCTAACTTCAATCCTAACTTTCACAAATCCCTGCTCTCAAAAGCTGGACCCAAAAAACCTTTTTTTTTTGTTAACTCTAAAACCACTTAACACTCTACTTGAAAATATTGTGAATAAAATAGAAAGGGGATTTTTTTTTTAAGAGACTCTGTCTAAATGAAGAAAAACAAAATTCAAGGTGTAAAACAAGAATATCACAACAGCAGCATGGAGACAGGCCAAGATAAGCCTCCTCTCCTACCTGGCACAGACACTTCAAGCCAGGCACAACAACGAGCAAATGGTGACAGACCAACAGGCTCCTTCCCAGAGGCCTGAGAGTCAATAGTTCAGTCTCCCTGAGACAAAGGCTGCATGTTTGTTTTGCTGTTAAAACACAGCTAAGGAAAAGAACTAATCTTTCATAATCCGTTTAAATTCTTTTTCAGTAGTTACACAGCAAAGGGTCTCTGCAGCTGCTTTTAAAATTCAGCAGTCTTAGATTATAAAACTGTGACAAACTGTTAACTGAAGTGTACTAGTTTTCATAAGAATTATGCTACTGGAGGATTTAGTGTGGTTTGTGACTATTACTTTTTGTGTTTTAGTATCACATCAAAACACTGTGTATTATGTTTGAGAGCTAATGGCTAAGAGTCACCTAAGCAACAGCACAAGAATAAAGATAAGTTTTCCTGGGAGGCTGCTGGAACAGAAACCTATTGCCTCCTGTCAGGGCTCCAATAATATCATGCAAACACCATTTCCTTAAACAATTTGTGCAAGTGAAGTAGAACTGCAAGTCTTCAGATGAAGCAGCTGTGTGTGAAAACACCAGCAAGAGCTAAGCTACAGGGCAGAAACAGGCTCTCCACGTTAAAAACTGTGATCCCTTTCCCCCAGATTAGATTTTTGTGCCATTCACATACACTGCAATGCTGGAAAGCCCCATCTCAGCTGTTGTGCACTTGCCAGAGGAATATTCTTTGACAGATTTAGGAAGGCAAAAAGACTATGAAAGCTGATCACAACAGCAGCCAGATTTATAGAAGCGACATTACTTTTATTTGACTTTGAAATTGTTTTTTTAATGAATGTTGGGCCCACAGTTTTAAGTGCAAGAAACAGTCAAGGCAGCAGCCAGCCCTGGCCTCTCAACAGGCAGGGCCATCCTGTCACTCAACCATCAGATGTTACTTTGGGATGCAGGACTACAAAGTTGCCAAAATTAGGATAAAAATACAAGTTTTTTATCTATAAGAAGTAGCTGCTAGTGATACCTCTCACTGAACAGATGGTGTTGGAACACAGAATGCCAGTGCCCAACACCTTCTCCTTTATACCAGAGAGCACCAAACGGCCATCCTGGCACATCTTGCCCTCAACAGAGCACCAGGATCAGATGCCACTGGAGCTGGACACCTTCCCTGCATGGGAGGAAAGCAGCTGAAGCCTCCTGTGCCCCCACACATCTCCACCAGCACCACGGACCATCCCCACCACAGGGGGCTCAAGCACATCCATGGATGCACAAAGGGAGTTCCAGCCTCCACAGACTGACCATCCTACCACAGCTGGAAGTCCAAGAGGGAAAGATGAAATCACCCATTGAAACAAGTGCTACGTGAGTGGATTTGCACCTGCCTGGCAGCAGGGATGCCCAGCCTACCCCAGAGGGGCCTCCTCTGGATCATCCCAGCGAGCACTCCCATGGAGAAGTCGGCTCCCAGTGGCATTAAGGCTCATTTCTCTGCAATGTGCAGCCCAGGAGTCGGTGATTCATCCCCTCAAATATTTGGTTACAGCCAACCATAATACTGCCTCACGATGGAAAATGCCTCTTCTTTCCATGAAATGGAGTGCACTGCCAAGCAAACAAAAAACCCCTCGTGCACATAAGCAAGGAGAGAGGGTTTCAGCTACTGGAGCCACTTCTCCAGTTTCTGCCACTGTTACAAGAGGAAGACCAGTGATTCCTCCTCTCCAGCAGAGTAACACAGGAGCTCAGTCAGCAAACCACACAGGAAAGTTGACAGCTTTTCAAATGCAAAACTGTGAGAGTTTTGGCCAGCAGCTTCCTATTAAGGAGATAAAACAATTAGAAATATTTCCTCAGCATTTCTTTCCCAAAGTATGATGCTCCTAAAATGGAAGAGATGGAAACACTCGTGATGCCTGTCGGATGAAAAGTTCAAACTAGAAGGAAACACAGCTATGAATTGCTGTAAGATAATCAACTTTGATACAGGAATAAGAGGGAGAAGGAGCCCGTTTGCAACTACAAGCAACAAGGAACATTTCCAGCTTTGAAGTGACTGGGGTAGGTGATGAGAACCAAGAATTTCCAGTAAGTCACACACAACTATAATGTGAAATGGAAACTTTCTCAGGAGATTGCATTGATGTCTGAGGTCAACCTCTCACCTGTAAGACTTGTGCAACTAAAGAGAGGGAGCTACTTGGTGTCCAGCGTGGCACCACGCAGCACACGCAGTGAGGGAACCACAGGTTTCAGGAGGAGCGAGTAAATGCTGTGCTGGTTCTTTTGCACTTAGTAACCAACCATCACATTGTGCAACCTGAAGCAAACCCCTAATTCGACTCTTATTTTCTTTAAAAATAACCTGGAGGGTTAAGACTGGTGTCAAAACCCGATGGGAAGCAGCATTTACTGGCGTGCAGTGTGTCACAAAGCCACTGCCACAGTAGCGAGAGTGCCCTAAATTGAAAGCTGACTGACCTTGAGCCCGCCGGTTTCACAGAAAGGGAAAGACACTGATCACGTCTCAAAGCTCTCCCTCTTCTTCCCATGTGCTTGTCCGTGAAAGCCCCCAGGGTTGTGCAAGGTTTACACAAACAATCAGGCTTTAACCCTGCTTCTGTAGGTAACCCGTCTCCTCTAGGTAATTCAACTCTCCAAACACGGAGAAGTTGAGGGATCTGATCTCTTGTTTGACTTGATGTGATAACAGTCAAAGGAGAAAGAAGCAGCAGACATTGCCTACCACCACAGTAGTTTCTTTTGCCATAGACTCACTGTGAAAGTCTGATTTTATAGTCACTTGCACAATGCGCTACTTTGTCTTTTCACTTCCCTTAAAGCTGTTTTTTTAAACACCAAAGTTGCAACGTGGATTTAAAAGTGAAATTCACTTCTCCTTTAGACTAGTGCCTCCAGAGTAGGCCTGGTGGAGATCCTGCCCCTGCACACATTTTCCCTTACCTCTGAATACAGAGACACCAGTGCTTAGGGCATGTCAGGCATCAGACTGTTCTGCTACAGCTCTTTCTGAAAGAGAGACTGAAGCATTAACCACCTTCTGAGCTTCCCCACCTCAGAGGTCATAATTTGTCATCTCATTATCATTTAGGTGGAACTGTCCTTTGTACTACAGCCTCCAGAAAAGCTCAGCTTTGCTTCATGTCTAACCCAGCGCTGGTATCGATCTGTGCTTCCTGGTTCCCAGCTCCCCAAACCATAGACGGATCATTAAAGTTCTTATCAGAGACAGAGCTAAAGTTACGCTTTGAGGCAGATGAAAACACTTCTGAGATAACAATCATTTAAAGAGATAGTGGTATCTGACAGCTCAGTGAAGTTGAACAAGAGCTGCCTCCAGCAGGGTGACGTGGCAGAGCTGCACAAGCTCAGCAGTTGCCCAAGGAGCAGAGCATAAAGCACTGCTTCAGAAGTGGCAGGAAGATAAGGATAACGCCCTGCAGATGGCAAGGAACACTAATCCTACAGACTGCAGGGATAAAAGCACACGAAATAAAATTGATTAGCTATACCATATTAAGTTTTGGTGCAGACATTCATTTGGAGGCTTATAAATAAATCTGTCAATTAATTCAAGTTAATCTTCCTCGCTGCGCAGAAAGTTACAGATGTTATCAAGGTACAAGTTTGACAAAAGCATTCGTGACATCGGGATTTAAAATTAAAACAAAACCAAAAAACACACACACACACAACAAAAAGAAAAACTCTCCCAAAAAAACCCACACATGAAATTCCAGAACAGACAATGCTGGGAGGAAAGTGTCTCTTTGGATAAGCAGAGGAGTAGAATTACAAAGAAACAACACAAAAAAAAAAAAGCATTTTTAAAAGTTTTATCTAGTAAATTTAATAACATTTCAGAAAAGATAAGGTTTTACCTATATTACTATCCAGTAATCAGTGAAAGAGTTCTCTTCAAAATCACACTGAAGTCAACTCCTTGTCAACTACAATAATAGGTAATTAAGGCACCTTGTACATTAGCCAAATATAAACCACAAAAGCATTTTGAGGGGTAACTCAAGAGACTGAGCAGCTCAAACAGGCACAGTGTGGTCCTGCCTGGGACTAGCACAGAGGCATCAGAGTCATCACACCGTGAGCTCCAGGAAGATGTTACAAGGAGGGACTGCTGGAAGCAGGGACAGATTCTTGTCAGCAAACCACCAGCTTCATGTAACTGAGCCAGAGTGGTGGTAACCCAGAGTTTGACTGTTTCTTGTCTGTAAACTCATATCAGTGCTTTTGTTTCTTATAAGGCAGAGCTGGGCCTGTTTTCAGCAGAAATTTGGGTACAGAACTACTCTGTAAAGGCAGAACAGTCTCCTGCTGCAGACCACAGAACTAAGCCCAGTTAGATGGCATGACTAAGCTATTAAGAATGCATAAGAATGCATAAAATTCACACATGCAAAACTGTTTTCAGTGTAAAATTTTGGTAACATTGCTGAAAAATTCAGTGATGTCTCAGTTGGGAGCCTGCATTGTCAGCTGTCTGACAACTGCCTCGGAGAGCAGAACACAGAGCAGACAATGTCTAGACCCTCCTGTTCTCATCCCTGCCAAATTTATGCCTTTATGACACTGGCTATCATCTCAAACATGGGAAACCAAGAGCAGCAGGAAGCAGCCTGAAGAAAGTTCCATTTCTTGATCATTCAAGCAGCATCAGAGGATGGCCTGATCCCTCAGAGGCCAGAGCTGAGAGCCCCCTTTGTGGCTTCCTTGGCCACCGCAGAAAGCTGGTAGGTCTTTGCCAGACAGAGCTCAGGACTTTACTGGCAGAGCAGGAGACATTCCTCTGATTCTCCTTCCTCCTGTGAGTGGATACAGTGACAGCTGCTCAAGAGACTGTCATCTGAGTCCAATACAACATGTAGGTCACTAGGGTAGCAAACCTGCCTCAGAAGCACTCACGGGAAGCGCGATTCCGGATCTGTCTGCGCCGATCACCACAGCTCAAGTCTGCAGATCCTGATAGACAGCTCTGGGCAGATCACTGCAACCCCCTGTTCTCACCTATTTTAAAACAACAACAAAAAAACCTCAGCTTCATTTCTCCCCGTTTATCTCCTCAGGTTCTGCCTTGAGGACCTTTTCTCCCTGCCCTGCTGCGAGCCTGCCAGGAAAGCACCCTGCAGGAGAGATCCCGACGTGGATTAGCCAGCCACGTGTCACACAAGTGCTTCAGCCAGGTCTCACAGGTATCCTGCTCCAACCACTGAGCTGGGGTATTTTCTCCATAATGCTTTAAAGCCTCCCTCAGCATGAAGGAGGAACTCAGAGGAAGAAACTCAGAGGAAGTTGGTCAAGACTCCTGCGGCCAAGAAGGGGAAGGGGACTGACTGCCCGAGATACAGTTCGGACAAGCACAGCTGGATTAGGAAGTAGGAGGAAGATGAGTGTGTACATGTTCTGCAAGACAGAGTAAAAGTGATGTAAACAGAGTGTACCATTTTAGTTTAAAAAAAAAGCAGAAAGCTCAAAAACAATTTTAAAGGCTTTCAAAAACCTGGAGTAACACCAGGAATGCAAACTCACCGACACCGGGGGCTTCTCCTAAATAACTTGCTGAGGAATTTCAGGAGAATTTAATTAAATTGTTTTGATAATTACATTTAGACACAAATTCACTAATGTTACAAGGGGGTGAGGCTCTAAAGAGAGAACAACTCATCTGTTCAAGTTTTTTTTTTAATCTTTCACTCCAGGACTGATACATTGACCAGAGTTGGAGTGCAAACACACAGAGTCACCACTCTTCATTCACCATTAGGTGATGTTTTTAAAAGCAGGGAACAATTCTAAGCCTTCTCCACACCACCAGACAGCTTTGTCTTTGGAAAAAAAGGAAAGAGCAGCAGCAGGTTGCTGGGTTTTCTTTTTTCAGTATCACTTTCTAGCAAGTCCTGCTGTCTACAGGAAGGTATAAGATACACACAAATGGTGCAGCCTCCTGGCACCCAGTTCACTGGCTGCCCTCTAACCTATGATTCAAGCTGCAATAGTATCAGTTTGTGCACATGCCCTGGAGCTGGCAATCCAAAAAGCCATGCCAGCACTTCAGATCAAAATGTCCTCGACTCTCGTCCTTCTTCTCATGTCCAGCAAAACACCAAGACATTCAGATACTTAACAGCAAAAGAGAAGCATTTCCTACAGCAAAGAAAAGCCTTACAAAGGGAGAAAAATAGCTACAGTTGTGTTTCACATGCTTAGAAACCACTGCATCTCCAAGGGGAGAGATTTATCAGGAAAAAGATGGATTTCTTGTCACTGATCATGGCGACTCACTGAACCCCACTTTAATAAACACTAAAAACCAAGGAGCAGCAGCTCACCCCAGACTTTGGGCTGCCAGGTATCCCTTCTGCAGGGCAAAGCCATCGACTGCACAAAGTTCCCATGGCAAAGTTGCACTTCTAAAGCACAAGTCAGGCCACAGCAGTGGTAGATCAAGGGCAGGTGATTACAAGCACTGCTGATGAGAGATCGTGACGCACTGGTCAGTCACACAACCTTATGAGTCATGCGTGAAAATTTGACTTTTATTAGACCTCAGTGACATAATGGAGAATAGAAAAGGAAATAAAGATCATGCTGGCACAGCCACTGCCCTGCAATGCCAACTTTACAGTCTCTGCATATAAACCAGGAAAACAAAATATATTGTCAGGACACGGGGAAATACAAACCACAAAGTGACACGACACAATTCTGATGAGATACTTGAAAGGCAAGGAGTCCCAGCACAGCACCTCTGCCTGCACTGCTTTAAAGCAAGGAATAAATTCAAAGGAAGAAAACACAAAAACCAGTTTAAAATGCTGACACAACATATTGATAATGGAGCAGAACAGGACAAATGTCATGACATTAGCTTGCCTTCGATTTCCTACCAGGGAACAGCATTTTATTTTGCTGCCTCTGCATCAAGAGGGAAACCAGACAGTGGACATGATGAGCCTTGCTCCACTTTGTGAGGATACCACCACAGAGGTAAGTGGCCAACAGGAGATGTTTCCAAACACAGCACACTGTCAGCTAGGGGAGATACTGATATGAAAAGAAAATTGAATTAAGCAGCCTAAAGAGTTACAGACCAGCAAGCAGCCCACAAATTGCTGTCTTTATCATGAACTTACTGCTTATGCTACTAAGTATCTTCCTTTTGTTCCTTGATTTTAACAAACGAGCAAAAAGCTTGAGAAAAATAGACTTTGATGCCACCTGATAGGCAGAATATGAGAGATGTCTTACTTTACAGGAGGGAACCAAAATTATGAGTGATCTATTTCAGCCCATCCATCAGGCTCACAGCAAATGAAACATGCTGAGAACCAAAACCTTCTATGTGAAAATACTGGTAAGGTACCATGGGAGAGCATTGCAGGGTTGTGCAGGAAACCCTCTAAGAGGAAAAAAAAAAAGAGCTTTAAGGAAAGCACAAAATAAGGTAACAGTGAGAATAAGGGAATCACTGAGTGATCACTGAATTATGAGGCCAGAGAGTAGGATACAAGAGTGGCTACTATGAAGCGTTGCAGTCAAACTCCACATATAGGAGGCTGAAAGTAAATAAAAAGGAAAGTTAAAGACCTCAACGAAACCAGTAGCCCCACCTGCCCACAAGCACACACCGATATCACAGCTGAAGATAAGTGAGGTGTGTGGACTGGGTGAATTAGGTCTATCAGCAATCTAAGAGCGGGTAAATAACCAAGACTAAGCTAATAAACAATCAGCCAGAGTTGTGAAGAAAGCAAGACACAGCACTAAAATACCCTGGAGGAGCTTCCTACACAAGTGATGGACGGCAGGTGCTGAAAACTTTCTGTTGGCAGGAACCTCAACAGAGCGTTTGGATGAAAAGGGGAGACGAGGAGCAATGGAACTGCAGTTGTGCTTCACCCAACGGAAAGAGAACACACCAGGAGAAATACAGTCTGTCCAAGGACAACAATAAATAGCAGAGATGGGGGCACAAAGCAATAACAGCAACGTCCTAAAGGAAGGGACAGAAGAACGGGTGCCAGGAGGAGAAAGGGCCTCTTTTGCTGAGTGGACCTCGGCAGAGAACAAAGACACAGGCAAAAGCACTTACAGAAGAATGGGCCTGATTTAGATCAAAGAACAGATCAATTCTTTGCATTTGGGTAAATGCGAAACAAAACCACATTGAACAGCATCAGAGACTCTTAAAATAATATGACAAGAGAATGCACAATCCTCCGGAAATCCACGGTCAAATACAGGAGTCCAAGAGGACACAAGATGCAAAGGAATATTTCAAATGGCTCATAGGTGATGAGAACATCCAGTGTTGAAAAATTTAAAAAATAGCAAAAATTGTAATACCAAAAAATAAACAAGTCACAGCACACAAATGTATGAAGGTCTCCACATGACAATAACCTCAGAGCACTGATGAATGTACAGAAAATTAGGAGTAAAGCAGAACTGAACTGAGGACCAGCATGAGAAAAGAAAACAACACCAAAACAAATACGTGCATTTACTGCAAGATAGAGGACAGAAAAGCTAAAAACCTGAGGCAAAGCTAGTGCTAAGTGGAAAAAACCCCTTCTTATGTTGAAGAAAACAAACACTGACACAGACAGAAAAGGAAAAAAAACCCATCAAACACACCAGCATTCAGAAACTGAGCAGTATCTACAAGGCTGAATAAATTTAGGAGAGCAAAGGCAGCTCTTATGTCTGTGCTTTTACATGGACCAAAGTTCCACTGTGTGAGAAAAACTGATAAATGCAGGGTGAGCACCAAAATGAACTCTGGGCTCAGGGAAGAGATTTTGCAATAATGAAACAGAAAATGAAAAATATGACTACAGTCATTCTCAGGACCTACATTAAGACTCTGCCCGGAAGGGACACTGTACCTATTGCTACATAGCAGAGGAGAAGAAACAGTAGTTTCTAAAAAAAGGGGGTAAATGAAGATGTGCAAGACAGAAACAGTGATCAGAAGGACAGAATCAAAGGGCTTAAAAGAGAAGCTCATGCTCGATGTGGGCATAACACAAGCGGTGAAAAGACCAGCTTTACAAGCACTGAACTGTGAGAGCACAACCCTGCTGTCACCACCGGTGGCAAAGGTGCCTCTGCCCAACCTATCGCCCAAGAACGCAAGACAAAAGGTCCAGGTAAAGGAGTGCATTTGGTGGCTCACTCCACACCTCCCGATCTTCTCTGTAAAGACAGGAAACCTGCTCTGCAGAAATATTCTCACACTGAGAACGATGAACCCTTTTCACCATTCCGACCTGTCACATTAATAGAACGATACCCAAGGGCTCCACAAAACCCTGCCACGAGCTCCCGGAGCAGCAGGTCGAGCCCGTGGTCCCCCGATCCGACGCCGCTTTGCCCCTCGCACACCAGAACCGCTGTAGAGCCAAGTCCCTGTTTTGCAAGTCATACGAGCCCCCGGGAGCTCTCCCGGCACCCGGGAGGCGCCGTTAGGAAGTTCCAGCCCCTCCCGGCCCCGAGCGGCGCCGGTCCCGTGTTCCGCACCCACCAAACCCCGGCTTCATTCAGCCTTTGCCGCTCTCTTTAACGGGCTCCCAACTCCAGCTCTGCCCAGCCCCGGGGCCTCCGCGAGAGCCCAGGGACGAGAGCCCACCGCCTCTACCCGCTGGCTGCCCTCCCCGGGGGGAACCGGTGGCCCCAGCGAGGGAACCCGCACCCGCGGGGGGCACCGGCACCCACCAGCAGCACCGCCGGGACCCCCGGGCCGCCGCCCCGGGCCGGGGGCTGCGCTGGCCCGGCCCCCGCCCCACCCGGGACCAGCCCCGGCGACCCCCGTGGGAGCGGAGTACGGGGTGGGGCGAGCACGGTCCCCTCCCTCGCCCTCCGTCGCCAACCCACGGCGGCACCGGGGCCACCAGCGGGGCCACCCGCGCCCAGCCCGGCGCTGTCGGTTTCCCTCAGCGCGGTGCGCGCCGCGCCCCACCGCATCTCACCGCCACCAGCGCCCGCTCCGCCTCACCTGCCCGCGG